GCGTCCTGTCGTCGTCGACGGCCAGATTGTGATCCGCCCGATCATGGTTGTTGCACTCACGTACGACCATCGTCTGCTCGACGGTCGGGAAGCGGTCACGTTCCTCGGTACGTCTATCTGTCCTCTCCATTGCGTTCATCGCGAGTTGCTGACGCGGCGTCATAGTCAAGGTCCGGGACTACCTGGAGGACCCGAGGAAAATGCTTCTTGCGGCATGAGAGCGCGGAAGGGGGTGCGAATAGGTTGGACTGCAGTGTTGTTTAACGTAGAGCTATATACATTATCTCTTTGCATGCCTAGCTTCAGTGTCTCGCTTCGCGTCTCTTGCTACGTACACCACGTCGCGCAATCGAGCCTCGCCCAGGCGTACAGCCTGAGGATGGGTTTCCTGTGGACGCAATGGCTCTCGATGTAGATGACCTGTCGGAAGATGGAGATAAGGACGAGCATGATGGCAGCAGTAGGCAGTTTCGGACGCGCCAGACATTCTTCCGGAGACGCCGGCCATGGAGCGCCTGCAGCCTCCGTGACTTTTGAAGATTTGTGATGTATGTCTCTGCATGTGCCACACTGGCTGCTGTGCGTCTCTACGAGCTAAACGTTATGTAAATTCAACAGCATGACTGGAAAGAGCGCTGCCGTGAGGCGGGCAGAGTTGCGAGGGTGCGTCTCTACGAGGTAAGCCCCAGCGGAGGAGAGGGCGGACCCCGAAACAAATCGGCGGACTTTAAAACCAGGGGAACAAGACCGCCTCATTTCCTCGGCGCAAACCTTCGCAATCCGAACCTTGAGCTTGAAACCCCAACCACCTGTAACCACCTGCGGCGAGCCTCAACTTCCCCCTACGTACGAATCTACCTGGACTCTACCGCATTCACCCTGAAACTTCTATCACACAAGATTCAAGACGATGGCCACCGATGTCGATGTTGATGCATTTCTCAAGAATATGCATGAGAGGCTGTACGGGATGTTGCATACACGTTTGCCCGAAGTTCGTACGTCCCAGTATGTCTGACTGCACGGAAGCTCAAGCAGCGATCTATCTATGTGCAGAAGGCATCGAATACCCGATGGAAATATTTCAACAGAGACGAGGTGACGAAGATGCTGGAGGAAATCAAAGCCATGCGAAAGCGGGTGGCAACGCAGGAGCGCGAGGTATGTTGACATCGCATTTCGGGGATCTGCACCCAGATATACTAAGCTACCCATCAATGCCTCTTCAGCGCAAGCTGCCCTCACTCGAGATATCGGATTTCGTCGCTGGACTGTTGACGGATCCTACACAGAGTACCATTTATTCGCAGCCACGCCCGTATGAGTCCCAAGTAGACTGCGCCGTGCTCGCCCTCCTTCGCCACTTCTTCCCACTCCAAGGCAAGTTCCTGATCCAAGACCAATGGACATACAATCCGGAGGTGGAACAAGCAATCCTCAAGCAAGTGGCGGACTGGTCGATCCAGGCAGTGGAAGGAGATACGAGTAGACATTACCTCTATGGTACTACCTTCGAGCAAAACACCGTGGAGGGTGACACTGGCGAGGAAGAGCAGTTCGAACAAGGCGAGGAGGTCGAACAGGGCGAGGAGGTCCGAAAGCAGGGCGAAGAGGTCGAGCAGGACGAGGAGCCGTCTCCACCAGCGGTTGTACAGGACGACTCCGAGGATGAGGCAGACTCGAACGATGATAACCTGGAATCTTCCTCCAGGGGTGTGGTGACGATGAAGACTCCAGGTGAGTACTGTGCAATCCGTATATACTTCCTTGCAGCAGACTGATCAGTGCGGGCAGTCAGAAAGCGCGGCACTGTGCCCATGGACTTGTACTCGGACTTGGAACAAGTGTCGATGTCTGGCTTCGACGCCAATATTGCTCACACAAGCACGCCCGTCACCACGGCGGCCATCGTATCTGGCCCGAGTAGAGCCTCTACCTCCACTGCCAACAACGACCACAGTATTGGGACATTTGAGCCTCCGTCGATGCGTGACAAGTCTCCCATCTCCGGGTTTGAGCATCTCACCGTGGATTATCTCGGTCGGCTCGTCGACAATAGACCTGGCAAACTGTCCTACAAGAGACCAGACTTCGTCGTCAGCCGGGCGCGCAAGCCGTTGCTCATCATCGAGGATAAGTTGCGCGGTCAGACCCCAGGAGTCCGGCAGCTTAGCGGGTACTTGAAAGAACTTGGTCAGATCGGAACGGTTGGGATGTGTTTCACAACAGATGCGCAATCAGGTCCAAGTCTCATCGTAGCGATGTTACAGCTTGGAGTTGTTGAGGATGATGGTGAGATGGAGGTTCTGTGGCTAGGTGCACTGCAGCCTGGCGGTGAGGAGCCGCCGCAGCCGACATGGTACATGGCAACAGAAGAGTTGGTTCGTCAAACCTTACGAGACATTGTTGTAAGGGCACTCGACAGTGTATGAGACTCTTGCGGTGTCAGTTGGACATGTAATGTATTTCATCCTTTGTGTGTACTCTACGCAATTTGATAGCCATGTAGTTCCAAGCGAAGCGAGCATTCAATATCTAATCCCAGTGAAGAGGGTCCTTCTGGACAATAACAAACAACCGTGGACCGCTTGCTTGAATCGTGAATTTCAGTATGTTTAGAACCAGCGTTTGTTCAAAGAGCAATGATTGACAGAACAAGGTGCCCACATATGTAATCCTATATAAACGAATGCGGGAGACGTGACGCGAATGATTGCAAATGTAGGGTACACCACTGAGACACAGAAGTACAGAATACAGTAAGACAAGGCGATGCTAAGAGCAGGAAAGAGATCTATGTTGAGTGAGCGCACGCGCGTCCCTAAGAGCTCCTGGCTGCTCGTGGACTGCTGAACTGGCCTCGGACGCGTTCTCATCCGTCTCAGCCACCTGCTTCTCCTTGGCCTGCATCCGTAACTTATAGAAGAGCAAGTCGGGAACCCAAACTGGATCTGGGACGCGGATATTGCATCAGAGAGAATAGCGGGAAAACAAGATGAGATACGCACATGCAGCGCCCTTGGGCCAGGGAGCAATGCACTTCCTCAATCTCTTGATGACGTCCTGGCTAACACCGTTCTGGGAGAGGAATCGGCGGAAGAGCTTCCACCTCTCGGCTTCCATGCGGTCCGAGGGCATCTTGTTGCGGGGACCGGGGATGACACAGAGAACCCACAAGGTGAGCCGTTGCTTCTTGACGGAGTCGAATATGTGGAGGAGGGTCTGGTTGACGTCCATTTCGATCAACTCGAAGAGGAGAGCGGCGTCATAGTTGTGGAAGGTCTTCTCGATCCGCTCGGGGGTGCATAATGCTTCTGCGATGGGACGGACAAGTTCTGGGGGAAAGGCGGCACCGATGGCGTAGGCCGCGATGTCGGGAGGAAGAGGAGTGCCATGACTCGTAACTAGAGCCGACGTAAAGTGCTCGCGGCTCGATGGCGGAAGCTTCTTCCGCGCAGCGGTCGCTTCAGAGGGAGGACGAGGAGGATCTGAACTGTTCATGACGGTCGTCGTGGTCGTGGTTGGGGTTAGGGTGAGGAGTGTGTTCTTGAGCAACAACAGCGTGTATGTAAGCGCCTGCCAAACGAGACCAATCAACGGGCAGCGCGCGGTGGCGCTGCCGTCAACCACGACGACGACGACACCGACAACGACGACCTCCTCCCTTTCATGGCATCCCTGCTTGAACGCATCTTTCTCCTACCTGGCGCTGCTCCCGCCCCTCGCCCGGCGATGTAACCGGCTCATGGAAGCATAACATGTACGATGCGGACCGCTCCCTGAGCCTCCCTCTCTGCTCGTCTCACAAATGCCCCCGCCGGCGCACCCAAAACGAACTTTGGCATCGCGGATAAGGCCCTGCGAGATGCCGTCGGCGACAAGGGAGGTCTCTCAATAAAGGGCGCCAGCTCCAGGGGCAACGTCCTCCAGGTCGCTGGCCTTGCAAAGGGCACTGCCGCAGCTGATGTCGAGGTCCGTCTGTCTTCTCCTCTCCTTCCCACCAATTCCGCTCCCTTTTGCGATCCCATACGCCTCTGGTCTTCGTGTCTACTACAATCCGACGCGTCCTGTGTCGTCATCTTGCCCAACACACGCCCCCTATCTACTTTCCGCCCATGCCCACCCTGTCTCCCGCCCACGTTACCGAAGATTAGCATTCTGTATACCAAGTGACATCCGGTCGTGATACAAACGGGTTACCACGTCAGGATCTGGACGAATGGCACTACCCTGGCCCCTCGAGTCCTGTCTGCGACTCTCACCTTGCCTCACTTCCCCAGGCCATCTTCAAGCGTTGTGGGCCCATCACTTCCTCCGTCCTCCACTCCGCGTCCCCTGACCCCGTCGTGCGACTCACCTACAAGTACGAGAAGGACGCGCAGGCAGCAGTCGTCAAGTCTCACGGCCAGCCTGCAGACGGGCGCACGCTCGAGGTCAAGGTCATAGGCGGCGTGAACGCAGCGCTGTCAGGGCGCATTGGCGCTGCGCTCGTGGGGAGCGTGGATGTGCTCATGAGCGATGAGGGCACGGGCGGCTCGGAAGAAGGGAGCCGACGCGATGTTGTTGTGATCTGATCTGTAGGAAACGTGTGTCTGAGTCCGCGGCCTCCACAGCATGATGGGAAAATGGACTCTGAACTGGCTGAACTGCTTCTGAAGGTGGAGTGCGGTACCATCACAGCGTTCATGCCGTTGGCTCGTTGTCTTCATGGCTGTCCAATTTGCTCAGGGGAAGGGCCCCTGATTAGCGCGGTCGACCACTACTATGTCTTTGTTGAGGCTGACGGTAAGCGGAACAGACGAGCTGCGTCTTCATGTTCAAGAGATGCGAAGTCATATCATCCAGCATTTCAACGTTGAGTAGAGACAGTGAGTCGCTTGCAACTGCGGCGAGATTGATATTGTGCCAGATCAGGGAGACGAGGAGTCAGTACTGTGCGCAGATGCCAATGCCATATGTAGTAAAACCCATACAGATATACTTTTGCAATTGATCTCCACGGCCTGGTGGTCTAGTAGTATGATTCCTTCTTAGGGTGCACTTGTGTGCGCAACATGGAGGAGGTCCCGGGTTCAATTCCCGGCCAGGCCCTGTGATTTTGTTCTGACAATTGTCTCCCTCGCGATTGATACGGTGACCGCACAAAGTGATGCAGACCCCATATTTGGAAGGTACTTCTCACCCGCCAGGAAACCGCTGGTGCTGGCACTGTCTCTCCCTTTGTCCTAGTTAACATGTAAAGAACCTGCCAACTTGCCATGTGTTAAGGTTACCCCAACCATGTGCAAGACCATTCTCATCTATTGTGATGAACTCCATTGTCCTTCACTCAGATTGCACATGAGATGCTGGAGTTTTTCAACACCTCTGCAGACTGCCAGCAACACTATGGTCTCTCGGAACTACAGTTGAAACCCTTTTAACCCATACCGTCTGATAACCCATACTCTATGATAACCCATAAGATTTCGGCCTTCCCAAGTCGGGACAGTCGGCATAACCCATAACTCTATGGTATCCCATGACCCATAGCTTTTTTCGGAGGGAATAACCCATAGTATAGATTATGTAATATACGTTACAAGCCTGCATAGGCACCAGATATGGACAATCAATGAACTCGTCAAGCGCGGTGCCCTGCAGCCATCCAACCGTATGGATATCGGCAGCCTCTTGAACCTGGCAGCTGAATTGGAGGTCATTGCAGAGGTCTCAGAGGAGGATATCTTTGATGCAGTACGTGAGGCGGCTCAAGAGGGCAATGACAAAGAGCTGGAGGAGGACTCGGAGGAGGGACCATCACGGCGCAAAGCTAGGCTGCGGACTGTGAATGATCCTGTGGCAAGGAAGTTGGAGGATGCCTTGGTGGGATTCTCGCGTCAACTGCAGTGTGGAACGCAGAGCGCGATGGTGAACACATATATCACAGAGTATTTTTGACATCAGTAGCCCTGTACACCGGCGCCTATGTCAAATGTCCGTGTGCGGCTCAGCGCTTATTTTGGCGTGCTCTCCTAAAGCCCATACTCTCCGACACCCCATACTTTGACCCCCATCCCAATCGGTATGGGTTATGAGGGTGTTGACTGTACCATGACATGAAGAAAAATGAGGCCTACCATTGTTACAACTGGTAGGCTCCTGGTTGTCTACTACTGCCATGGACTAGCTTCACTTCTTTGTTGTGCTACTGTACTATAGCGGCTCTGGTCTAGCACAACTAACCGCACGGACTTACCTTTTCCTTAGATAACCACTACTAGGTCGTCTCTCCACTCATCTCCACCTCCATATGCCTTTACTCCACTTGTCTCCAGTTCCTTACTCATCTTCTCCACTTAGTTCCACTTAGCTCCACTAGTTATTTCATCATTCACCACTTTACTCCACTAGCACAAGGGCCATACTCCACCATACAGCCCCGACACTAGCAGTATATAAAGACCCCTCATGTAGGACACATTCCCCAGTTTTCGACCTCTTGTATTCCTTGTACGTTTACCCTTCGTTCAATAACATTAGCTGCCAATGGTCTGTAGACTATTGGCCCTTGCTCTTGTTATTGTCGCAACACTTCTGCTTCTAGTCCTTGTCAGACTAGCATCTTGTCTTCTCTAGGACTAAGGTACAGTATAAGGTGCGGTGTACTAACACTCGTAATGCATTAGGTCCACCGTAACACAAACAGTATCATCTCTTTGACACAGACAAGACTTGAGATAAATACTACCGAGAAACTACCAGACAGTGGAACAACTGTACACACGCACATTGTCCACTATGATACAACAATTCTGGTAGTATTTCAATAAATATCTCACAACTGGGAAACCTCAAACAGCCAAAAAAACACAGGTGAAGGATATCGTAAAAACTCATGGGCCACAACCACCTATTGAGAGACATCCAGCTCTAGCAGGAGCTCAATCAGTTTCATCAAGCTCATGAGTTCCATCAGGGATATTGCAAACTCCTTTAACTCCATTAAGTTCATTACCAGAACCAGAACCAGAGCCAGAGACAGATCAACCATAGGAACACTCTATTGAACCAGAATCACAGCCAGAATGGGAGAAAGTAGCAGTCAGATCTTTGGATGAAGAAGATTTCAGGGACACACAAAAAATACATATCTCAGAATCACCTATACAACGAGCACAACCATCATTATGATGGAGAGATGGCCGCTCTATATACCCACAGGTGCATCAGTTTCTGCTGCCCTAGGCCAGGCATTTGGAACAGGATCCTCTTTAAGTACAAGTGGTGGATATGTGGCTGGAAGCCAGTACTCATACCAGCCTACCAGCAGAACTCAACCAAGTGTGCTGACACCTTACGGAAGCTTTGCCTCACCAAAGAGTTTTGGAGGAGGCAGCTTCGCTACAGGGGTAACAGGAAGTGGTGGAAAACCACCAGCTCCATCATCACCCACTTCGAACCCACCAACAGGACCAGGAAGACCCCCATCCCCATCATCTGGAGGGGGTGAAGGAGGAGCCACACCACCAGGTAGGGGATCGCCACCACCTGGAGGAGGTGGAGGAGGACCACCACCAGGAGCTCCAGCCAACCCTCTAGGATATCAACCGCAACCTGCGGGGCCAGGAAAGGGAAAGATTAAGGATCCAGAGGTCTTTAACGGAGACAAAAACAAGACCTGATCCTTTCTCAACCAACTCTTTCTCCTTTTCACCGCAAGACTGCAAGACTTTGGCAACGATTATACAAAGGTTGCAACAGCTCTATCCTTCATGGAAGGAGATAACATCAACTACTGGAAAGATACGGCCATCCAGAGGGCTAAAGAGGAAGTACACCCAGGTGTTCCCTGAGGGTTTGACACCTGGGCCAATTTTAAATAAAACTTCCTAAATGCCTTCGCTCCAGTAGATGAAGTCGACAACTTCATGGTCCAATTAACCACCATTCGACTCAAAGACTACACATCAGTCGACAAGTTCAATGCATGGTTCATGGACTTAGCCCTCAAAGGCAATATTTGGGATCCTATAGCGCAACTAGCATTATACAGACAGGCACTCCCTGAATATTTGCTGAGGAAGATTTCAATGTCATATCCAGCTCCGGCAAACATTACAGAATGGATGACTCGAACCAAGGAGTTAGACCATAGCTATCAACTAACAGAGAAGATTTTGGCCAACCGAAAGACACAGACAGCCAAAACTTCAAAGCCGAAGAAGACTGTATGAGCAGTTAATGTTGGAGAAGACAACTCTCTCGACATCAACAAACTCTCTATCAAAGAGCGACAAGAGTTACAGAACAAGGAACTGTGTTTCAGGTGCCGGAAATCTGGACACATATCCAGAGACTGTCCGTCTTAGGCTATGTCATGGGTGTACCCCTGGGTACGACCATGCTGACCCGAACCCACACCCGAGTGACACCCACACCCACATATGTGGGTATGGGTATGGGTACGGGTGCTAAGCGCCGGGTGCACGGATATGGGTTGTGTGCGTAAACCCTCGGGTCAGGGGATGCAAGAAAACCACAATTGACGTGCATAGTACCACTGCAGGCTGCGAGATCGAGCATTCGACACGTCATGATTCATGGGCAATACACTGTACTAGTAATAACCGGTGTCAGAGCTCATCCGGGCCGACTGTCCCACCATGACTTGTAGTACCCTGCCGACCATCCTCCGACAGAATCGAGTCTGCGCCATCCGAATCCGAGTCCGATCTCTCGAAGATGTCTGGAAAGGCTCCCTAAAGTGCAAGTCATGAAAGAGTGATCATAACACAAAGTGTGTACTCACTGGAATGTGTTCCATGGCCCAGCGGGAGAGATCACTGAGGACGCGCTCCCCAGGTTGACTGAGATGAGCACTGAACTCAGCACCGAGGTAGAGCTCCTCAAGGAAGTCGTCCCAGGTCTCTGTAGCACGCGGAGAGAGTGTAGCATAGTAGCGGAAAATGTCAATGATGGCCTCAATTAATTCATGTTGTTCTTCGTCCAGGAGTTCCAGGAGACCGTTATGGGCAATATCGGCCCAGAAACCCTCCCACACAGCCGGGGGGAGGGCACGCGCACCCGCAAGAGTGGTGGGCAGGTATATCTAGCGTATCATTCAGGTGTCATGATCAAAGAGGCTGGACTCGAGAGAACATGACGATATCAAAGCGTGTTAGTACTCACCACCTGACGAAGGTTCTCAGCATGCGTGTCATTGGCAACAATCTCCAGCTTAATCATGGGCCTCCCCTCCAGCTCCGCGATGCGTGTTTGATAGACAATCTTGAGGTGTATGTATGCCGGTCTGATACGCCTTGTAGGAGCTGTCCAGGGATCGAGGAAGGTAGCGAGACGGTAGATCCCAGGCTGTTGAGTGGTGTGCGCTTGCCCCGGGCCAGGTTCAGACTCGTCGGAATCGGAGACCGTCTCAAGAGAGGGTATGCTGTTGTCGCTGTGATCCGAGGCAGCGGATGGATGTGCAGTATTAGACAGAGCTTCGAGTAGCTCTCTAGTTATAGGTGCAGGAGAGGGTGGCGAGCTGCGATCCGGGAGGACTGGCTGAGGGAGTGCCGTCCGCTCCTGCGACATGGTTGTAGTTGTTGCTGTTCAATCTTACGGCGACGTTCGATAGGAACTCTTGACGTTTTCAGAAATTTTACTTGATCACACAATTTCGCAGGCCGCTGACATATTTATCAAAAGATTAATTCAGTTTGTTCATTACGACGGACTCGGAGACGGTCAGATAGACGACAAAGAGTGATAATTCTACTAAAGAGTGTGCGCCCGATGGCCCGAGCAAGGACGGAGGTACATGCGGGATACAAAGAATGACAAGATGGAAACGAGTGTAGGATCTACTTCTTCAACTGGGAGACGTCAATCTTGTCCCACCCATAACCCATCTCAAAGTCGGAATCAGATCCATCCACCTCGGGGAGCTGCGAAGCGACGGCCGCATCCTCTGGCTTCACGAGACCTAGGACACTCCAGCTGCCAAGGCAGAGGAGTGCGCGGGTCGTCTGCGCATTGAGACGGTTCCGGACATGAGTGAGGAGTAGTCGTCCACGGCTGAACACTCTCTCGACATCAACTGAGGTGGC